GGTAGGTCTAAATTCGCAGTAATGCGGCCTAATGTGGACGTCATCGTCTTATGTTCTCTTTCTAGCTCACCAAACCCTGCTGTCCTGGGAACAAAAGGATCACCCGCCTCCCTAGCGTCCCATACTAGATGGTTTTCAACAAACTGCATCACTCGATCTTTTCCGTCCTTACTCACAATAGAACGGATGGACAACTTATCCTCCATTATTTCTGCGAGCCTTGCATTCTTTAATTCTTGTCGTACTGCTAGCAGTTCGCTTCTGTCTTTCTTGGAGTTCTTTCATCTGCTGCTCCATTTTCTCTCGCAGATGGCGTTCCTTCATTTCAATTACGACACGCTAAGCTTCGACTTTTCACTCAGCCGACTAGATCCACTAACCCTGGAGCCATGAACAGAAAACCTATGCAAACGGACTTGCCGAGATCCTCCAGTGTTGTCGTCGAATCCCCGCTGTTCGTCATCAACGTCCTTGTTCGTCATATTCATTCTCCGACTGACGGGCATATCAGAGTACTGTAACGACCAAAACGCGATTGTCCTGATCCGAGCGAAATAAAAAAGACCTCGTCTGTATGCGTTCAATCAAATGATCCTTCACTCGTTCTGGATAGCGATAAACAAATCTCAGAGCAACGCGTAGCCCAACTTATTGAGAACCAAGTCGATCCAAAAAGAATCTACGGTACTATTATCGCATTAGTCACAAATACATAAGGCAGTCATACCTCTGATAGTAAGCCTGATTCACTATCCAGCCAAAATGTTACAAATATTCACAGAAAATATCTGCGGTAATAAAAATTAAATAAGAAAATGAGTGATTTGAACTACCTTTCAGATAATTCTGGACCAATAGGAAAATTCTGCACGCTTTAACAGATCAAGCAAAATAATCTTCAGCGTTGCAGCCAAAGGGGTTTAATGTAACCGAAAGCAACGGTTAGTTCAACAACGGGCATCCAATCGAAACTTTGGTCGCAATAAAACAAGAAAAAGCACTGAATCTCATTTACATGTAAGAGCAAAACACTTGAAGTGTGTGTCCAATAGATATGCTTCACCGTAAAAAGGTGAAATAGAAAGTTTACAAGAGAAAATTCACCGACATGAAAACCACTGTCGGAAAGAATGCACGCTAGAATGGCGAAAANATCTCAGAGCAACGCGTAGCCCAACTTATTGAGAACCAAGTCGATCCAAAAAGAATCTACGGTACTATTATCGCATTAGTCACAAATACATAAGGCAGTCATACCTCTGATAGTAAGCCTGATTCACTATCCAGCCAAAATGTTACAAATATTCACAGAAAATATCTGCGGTAATAAAAATTAAATAAGAAAATGAGTGATTTGAACTACCTTTCAGATAATTCTGGACCAATAGGAAAATTCTGCACGCTTTAACAGATCAAGCAAAATAATCTTCAGCGTTGCAGCCAAAGGGGTTTAATGTAACCGAAAGCAACGGTTAGTTCAACAACGGGCATCCAATCGAAACTTTGGTCGCAATAAAACAAGAAAAAGCACTGAATCTCATTTACATGTAAGAGCAAAACACTTGAAGTGTGTGTCCAATAGATATGCTTCACCGTAAAAAGGTGAAATAGAAAGTTTACAAGAGAAAATTCACCGACATGAAAACCACTGTCGGAAAGAATGCACGCTAGAATGGCGAAAAAAGATGAGGAAATGCAAGGGAATTGGGAGGAATTTTCAGTCTTAGTGACTGTTACATTCATTCCATTCTTCACAAGACTTCAGGTCATTTCAGATCACAGGACTTGTGGCTCGAGCCCATATGTTCTTGCTCCCTGAGCTCCGTGTTCTTGTGGTGCTTCGACTGCGAAGCGTTTTTTGATTAGCCTATCTGCACCGGCTGGATGCGGAAACGTTCTTCAAGGTCACCGATGTTTAATGCTGGAAATTAGAAATGTTTATTCATAATTTGGAAAAACAGCCTGGTGTGGAGTCGGTCTAGTCTACAACTGCTTCAGTTTCATTCCTGGTCAACATAATGCAACAGTGACAATAGATAAGATACTAAGAATCAAAAAGGAGGGTTAATACTTTAGGAGGTGTCAGCATTTCTCCGAGGTGTATGTATCCGTCTGTAACAAGCTGTCGCAGCTCACCCACTCACCCCAATGACGGTTAGCTACCATCTTGCGTTCACACTTTGGATCAGTCTGATTTCGGCCGTGCATACACAAGCAAAACCAGACAGTCTTACATGTTACATTAGCCTCTTATGGTACCAACACGGAAGAAGACAGACTAGAGTCCCTTAGCCTACTCTTGATTGCCCTCTCCCGTAATATCGTGTCACCTTCTTTGTACCACCCAACTTGTTTGTACCTACAGCCCCGTTCAATCATACTCAAACACACATCTATACCATCCATACGTGCATGTGCATACCTTAATGTATACCGGCTTACATCCCTACTGGTCCCAGGACGAGAATGGCAGTAGACCCTGAGTACTTGGCGAACGCTCTGACTATACTCACGGTATGTCATAAACAGGGTACGCATATTCCAATCAAGTCTCAAATGGTTATTACCTAGGGTTCAAGTCTCTAATGCGATGGGATAGAGAGATCTGGTTTTCCAGGCTGGATCAATTGGAGGCTGATGGAGGAGAATTCATTGGACCCTGATCCCAACAACAGTCAAGGAATCATTCGTACTTGATCATCATTCGTCATACAGTGCAAGAAGAGATACGGGGACAAGAGTCAGCCTCGGAACCGCGCACCCCTCGGTTGAAAGAGATTTGGCTAACTCGGCAAACTCTTTAGCTAGGGAGGGGGATTTTACCCCGTTGGCATTGCGCTCGGGGTTGATATGGTTTGTTAACCCTCAAATGTAGTGTAAAAACACGAATTTGTTTTTTGGGCAGCATAACGAATGCTATTGCTCCTCATCCAAATGAACCTCCCCTATTTGCAGAGCTTGTTTGCGACTGATCACCACTATTTACTCCTGCGACCCGTATGATTTATGGTGCGTCTAACTGTACCGACTCTAGGAGTCTTTGCCGCCTATCTCTCTCGGTTGAGGGTGTGTTGGTTTTCTTTTGGATCGTTCCGTATAAATCGGTTGACAAGGATGTAGGGTTTCTTGACGAAAACCGAGAAGGAAGAGAAGAAAAGTCGCTAGTGAAAAGAAACAAGTGACAATGTTGAAAACGTGTGAACGTATAAAGAGCCTCTACCATCCTCCCTGGAGCCATACTTCCAGTGATCTAGTTCATCTGTACTCAAGTACTGACCCTGGGCATGTGTCCGCCCGAGCCCGTTGTCCGCTTACCATGTATAATACTGATGTGGTTGCCGCACGACCGAGCAGTCTACTGTCTGTCCACCAGGGACTTTCAGGTCATTTCAAGTACAAACAAGTACACACGTATACACGTTTAATGGCCCTTGCCAATCGAGCGTTGTCCGAGGGTGTTTTTGGCTTCCAACACTGCGTTGTAGGAGTTTCTTTAACCATGTTCTCACAGACGAGCTGGAAAAGATAAAACAGAAGAGATGTCATTCCGCCTCGTCGGTGAGAGACCTGATTTCCTGA